TTCAAATTACAACACTGTAAAGGAAGCATTTCTTGAGTTTGTTGATCTTAATTGTAACTCCTAATTATTTGCTGTTAAAAATCCATGAAAATTTCAAATTACGAAGTAAGCCTTTCGTGGGTTTGTTGATATGCCAAATAACCGATACCATGATTTTATTTGTTTCAAGTTTCTTTTGTATACAAGTTTTATACAATTCAAAGTAAGGACGTCACAATATCTGAGTTTTTGAAAACAATCAGACATTAATAATATGAAGAATTCATATTTCGGAAGGATTTGGTGCAAAGTTTAAAGTCTGTGACATGAAATGTGCACAAGGCCCCTACACCAAGCAAAAAGAAGACATTTATTCCCGATCAACGTTCCATATCAAATTATTTTAATTTTAGTTTTTTCTTAACAAATTAACAATTTCTAAATCCAAATTTTTGGTCCAATAATTTGTTTCATTTCTAATTTTTTAATTTTTGGCCCAATTACCTATTTTATTGTTTCATTTCTTAGTCCAACAAGATCCAACCCACTAAATAACCCTAAACACCTATACTAAAGTGCATAACGCTATCTCGACTCTCGCAGTTTCGCTAACATTCCAAAACCTATACAATCGCTGATCGACGCTGTGACCTCCGATCGAAACTGTGACCTCCACCAACCAAAGTTTTGACCGTAACGATTATTTGAACAAGGTAGTCTACTAGTCTCTGACATTTCAAAATCATTGAATGTGTCATTAGTTGTATTTATATAATGTTGTTATAAATGTTAAAAAATTTAATTATAGTACAGAACCGAACGGAACGGAATGGAACCGAACTGAACCGAATCCGAACGGTTCCATTTATTAAATATCCAAAAATTTTGGTTCAGTTTGATTCTCTTTAGAATCGAACCTAACCGACCCGCGCCAACGTCTAGTTTCAAACTTTTTGAGCTTATGGAGGACTTGATATTAGCATACGTTCAAGTGAAATTGATTTCTTGGCCTCCAATAGGTAAGATAAAAACTTTTCAATGTTGATGTGACAAGAGAATTTTACTTTTTATCTTATCCATCGTGGATAGGAGATTAGACATGTATATTCAAGAAGAGAGATATTAACGATATGTGGACTAGTGGGTTTATTTTTATTTTTTTCGAAAGAACTGTATCTAACTTTATATGGTATCTATGTGCATTAGCTTGCTCACTATTTATAACCTGTGTTATCCAACATATGAAGATAGGCATTGATATCTAATTGTCACGCTAACATTTAAAAATAAATAAAATAAAATAAAATAAATTGCTAAAAATAGTAAAGCACCATAATGTCTTTTTGGAGAGGGGAAAAAAAGAAAAAAAGAGCCATCAGAGGGTGCAATTGGCTTATAATTAATTTTGACCGATAAATGAATTCATATAAAATTCAAAGAAAAATTATATTATCTCAAAAAAAAATTAATTGTATAAGTAGAATATATATTATTTAAATATATTTAAAGTGGATAGAACAATACAGTATAAAATGGAAGTCATATCTCTAGAATAGATAAAAACAAATGCTAAAGTGCCACTATTGAGATTGTGAATATAAGAAGAATTGATTCAGAAATATACATCAATTAGAAAAATGACGAGATTAACATCAATATTAAGCTGAAATGAAGAGGTCAATCTAAATCTCTTTATTGAGGGCATTAGAAATAGCATGAAAATTCGGTTAATGATGAGAAACGGAGTAAGAAAAAAGGTAATATAGGGTGATGTTTCCTAAATACATATCAAGAGTTATCAACTTTAGTCGAGTTATAATAGGGATGTCAATGAGTTGAGTCGATTATGCTCACTAGCCAAAACACGAAGCTCGGGTTTGGCTCAAGCAAAAACTCATTAGGCCTTTTTGGTCCGAGCCGAGCAAAAATCTACACTTGACCCGAGCTTTCGGCTCGAGTGGAGCCAGCTCGATTTATTTATTATTATTATTAATTTGTCTTAACAAGCTAGCTTGTTAAGGCAGCATTTTAATTTTATTTTTTTTAAATTCTCAGCTCATTATGAGCATCGGCTCGGGCTTTTCCCGAGCCGAGCCATGGGCTGCATTAGCCGACGAGTCAAATTTACATCCTTAAGTTATAGTCTGTTTTAAAAAATGTAACAAGTTTTTCATCCAAATGCATCTTTATTATTTATTTTTTATTTTTCAGTTGGATCACGTTATTCTTGCCATTAACTAACTTATGACATATATTTTTTATATATATATTGCACTAAATAAGATTAAATATAAAAAAAGAAATACACTTGATAAGAATAAATCATGAAATAGATTATATGAACCTGGACATGGAGAAAAGCTTTCACTAGAAAGGGGGGAAAAAAGCAAAAAAATAATTTTACATTAGTTTTTAAATTTTTATTTAATTTCTCGATCTATATTGAAGTATATTTACAAGAAATAATAAATAAAAAAGGTTATTATTATTATATTAAAGGGGATTTAAGGAGGGGAAACAATAAATGCTAGAGACATTATATTGATTAGAGAAAATAATATCTATGCAATTCTATGTCAATGGACAATAAATTATGCTAAATTTTAACGTTAACGACTAAAATGATTTAACCTACTTGTTTTTAATGTTTGGTTTGAAACTTTAAAGCCGCATTGATGATGCTGTATTCATCTTGAATTATTATTTCACCACATTGGCCCTCGTTTGGCCCATTCTTCTTCTTATGCTTTTTCTCTTTCTTATTTTCAATCACACAATCTTTCATAAAATAATATTACACGAAAATAAAAAAATTTCATTCTTTTTCAACCACACATTTTTCAAAAAAAAAAAAAAAATCATCCAGCCATTAAAATTTGGAAAGAATGGGACAAAACGGGACCAAATAATATTTATTGGGCTGGCAAACGTCTTAAGCGCTAGGTCCCTACCCTTTGGTTGACGGTACTGTATCATCCAACTACAAAAGAAATCGTATGTCTTATTAGATTGTAAATTCTTGAATTATGAAAAACATAAAAAAATGGATAAATGGTCTTCTAAATTTACACCATGTGCATACATAATCAAGTTTTAATTTGGATTTCAATAGTCCTCAAAAAGAATTCCTTATAAAATTATCAAGGACGTCCTACACGAACAACAGATTTAGGATGTGACATTGCATCTAACGTTACTTTGACATTTATTATGCCATCAAGGATAAAATTGCACCATTTTAAAGGGAAATACACTGTTTATCTTGTAGTGTGATAAGCACTTCAAATAAATGTGCGATTTTATCCTTTGCTGGCGTATTATAGGTATCAAATTGATGTCAATGGGATGCCAAATCATAGTCCACGTAGGACCGTTGTTAATAATTTGGGACGGAATTTCTTTTCAGGACTAACGAGGTTCAGGAAAAAAATTACGGGGACTAACAATGTCCAATTTAAAGTTTGGCCATGATTTTCACACATAACGTAAGTCTTGGACCATTAATTAAGGATGTCAGCGTGCACGAGCCTCACGCTGACTCAGCTCATGCTACTTGCACCCATGGATGACTTGGTTAGCTCCTAGGTGAGTCGTGGGGAGAGTCGAGCCCAAAAAATTCTCGTGTGAGTAGCTTGTCTGCTTGCACGGGACGGTTTGTGATCCAAGCTTGTTGGCTGGCAAGCTAGTTCGTGAGGCGAGCCAAATTATTGGCGGGCTTTTTTAGGGCCACCTAACTTGTTAAATATCTTATTTTTTGATCATTAAAATTTTTTCAAATATATGCAAACCGGAGGGATGACCTGAGCCCGAAAAATTTCATGCAAGTTGGCTTGTGCTCAGCTCGTCCCAACGCGAGCCAAGCCGAACCCAAGGGTGGGAGATTCGCTCCGACTTGACCCATTAATATCCCTAATATTGTTGTCTTTTATCCAAAAATAATTGTTGATGAAAGTCCCGGGCAATCTTATCCATCCTATTTCTTTAGATTTGATATGTGATAAAGTTTAAAAAATGCAAAGTAGGTGTTTGAAATGGTAGAGAAAAACGAATTATTCAAAGAAAGAAAACGCATAGACTTGCAGCATGAAGAATAAGATGAAGTGTTATAGGATTTTATGTGATAATAATTTAAAAATAGAATAAAATCATAAGATTAATGTAGTAAAATGATAACATTAAGATGTATATTTGGTCATACTAGAATAAATAATATATGGTTCCGAATGACAATATGAGTGACACTAGTTGAGGAAAATTAAGCTTCGATTTGGGAGATTTATAAATTATTTTGTAAAGAGGAATGGCAGCGGATCTCACGAAATGTGTAAATAATAATAAATAGCAATTATGAATGTATGGTTGATGTTAATATTTAACTTTGACTCTCTTTGTAAACAATTTATAAATTTCCTACATGAATGGAGGCTAAAGAAACCATGACTTTAAGGGTTTTGTGTTGTGTAAACCTAATGAAATTATGGGTCAGCAAGAGTCTCCTTCTTCTAAGTTCTATTGGACAACAGAGAATTTTCGTTCAAATATAGGTCGGCCATACTTGTGTTGGTTCTCTAGGATCCCATATGATCCGCTTAGAACTATGTTGCCACGATATTGTTCTTTGAAAGCAGATGGGTTTTTCGGTGTGGCAGGGAATGGATCGAACTCGACTGATACCATCCATGCATGTGACATTGGAGAAGATATGTGTCACAAGAAAATCTCGATCACAAAACATGATCACAAGCTAGCAATCAAAGTCTTCTGCCCATTCTCGTATTTCTGGTTAGTTAAACATCTACTAACAATTCAATAATTTCCATTTCTAGCAACAAGCATAAAGGGCCTGTCCATTCCCAACAATAAATGACTTTCATTTCCATTTCAAGCCGCAGCATTAAATCTTACATATGGCTTTGTATTTTCAGAAGGTTGTTAGGTCTNCAATAAATGACTTTCATTTCCATTTCAAGCCGCAGCATTAAATCTTACATATGGCTTTGTATTTTCAGAAGGTTGTTAGGTCTGTGGGCAGTTGAAAATATTAATGTTTTACGAATTGCAAACATAAACACTGCTGGACATTTTCCTATAAAATTTGAGCCGTTTAATGCAATTAACAACAAATTCAAGGTTCAACAACCTTCATTTAATCGCTAGATTTTTTAACAGATTCTTAGCAACTAAATTAAGAAATTTCAGCCATATAGTAAACTATTAATTATCGTGTCTTTCAATTGCTACATTTAGCTCCATTATGGTGTAATTCTCTATAGTTGGTGCTCTTTCTCCTCAGCATTCAATGAGTTTTCTTGAATACTTTACACCTAGCCCATGTTTTTTATGCCATCTAACCTAGCTTTTAAATTTCATTTTCTTGTCTGCATGATTAAGTCAAGTACCCATAGTAGGAAGGTTCTTTTAGTTTTGTGTATGTATATTACAGCTGATTTTACAAAGAAGCTGAAATTGTGAAAGGATGATTGGCTTATTTTCGAACTATAGGCTATAGCTTATGAAAATTGGCTTAAATCCCTCTTCGTGAATACTTCATTTTTTCTCCAAATATTTCATATTCACTTGAATTTTAGCCATTTTCAGAAAGCAGAAACTATCGATTGCACTCTGTTCTTTTCTGGGAATTTTCAATGGAAAATCTATCAAACAGGACAGTTTTCAATACCATTTTGTTGCAACTTTCGACGATCTTGGTATTTTTGGAGATGAGTTTGGCAGAAAATATTCCTGCAAATTTCGTTTTTGGAGATTCTTTAGTTGATGTTGGTAACAACAACTACATTGCATCACTTTCAAAAGCCAACTATGTCCCAAATGGAATTGATTTTGGGAATCCAACAGGGCGATACACGAATGGAAGAACAATTGTCGACATTATAGGCAAGCTTTCTGCTCATTCCATCTTACCAACCAGTCTAAAAGTTTAAGTTGTCAATACCCGAATGCTTCAGATTTTCCAAATCCTTGTATGAAACTTGTACTATAATTTCTATGTCCACTTTTCATAAGCAGGGCAGGAATTAGGTTTAAAGGATTTTACTCCACCATACTTGGCACCAACCACAGCTGGAGATAAGGTTCTGCATGGTGTCAATTATGCTTCTGGTGGAGGGGGAATTCTGAATTACACTGGAAAGATTTTTGTAAGTACCATTGTATTTTTATTTGCTTTTTTGAATATTTCTTG